AAAATGAATGTGTTTTATAGTTTAATGCAATGTTATAGGTAATAAACAAATCAATAAGTTAAACTAGATCTGCTACATCACGTTATGTTAAGAGTAGTAAACAAGATTAAAGTAAAATTCACACAGTAAGTTATGCTGAAAATAGTAAAAATTATATAAATGCGACTTTGAAAATGCAATAAACTTTAGTGAGAATTGATGTTAGACATTAGCCTTGGAGAATAAAACTGATATAGAAAATTTATATCAGATATATTGAAATCTTTCAACACATTTCACAACTACTACTTCTAAAATTAAAAGCTTATAGAATAAATGACTAACTCTACAATTGGATTTTGATGTTACCTAAGAGATCAGCATTAGAGTATCATTGTTGGTGGTACATACTCAGAATAGATAATAGTAAATAGTGGGGTTCCCCATTATTAACTTTTATTATATATAATAAAGATTTTTCTGATTTGGTTTTAGATGTTGTATCTGTATTTACAGATGATACTAAGTTATACAGTTTGCTTTTTGATAGCTCACCATGCAATAACCTGCAATAAAGTATGGACATTATAGCAAACTGGGAAAAACTATGAAAACTAAGTTTTAATGTAAAAAAATGTAAAGTTATACCCTTAGGACCAACAAATACAAAATTTTCCCTTAGGACCAACAATGCAATTAGAACCAAAAAATAAAAAATTCATTAATATACTCGTTTATAAAAATCTCAATACTTCAATTAATATTAAAAACTCTCTCGTCAATAAAGGGATCTTTATTGACAGTAATTTGACTTTTATTTTGTAAGTACTAAGAATAACACTGCTAATAAAGTTGTAGGAATGATCAAAAGATCACTTGTCAATCTCAATATCTTGACATTTCGAACTTTGTTTATTTTCCTTGTTCGTCCTCACCTTGATTCTTGCAGCTCTGTCTACTATCCTAGACTTTAAAAAGATCAACAATTAATTAAAAATGTTCTATGCTAGACTAGTAAATTTGTTTTTCGGCTAGACTGGACTTACTTACAACCAAAGACTACTGAGACTAAATTTAACTAGCATGAGCTATTGTTTCTTATGTAATGAATTGGCAGAAACTTACAAATGCATTCACAATCTTTATAATTGTAGTTGCAACCCTTTTGTTTCCTCATAAAATACCATTCAGTACTTTATCTATCAACACCTGTGTCAGCATGATGTCATTTGCACAGCCATTATATTTATTATTGTAATTACAGACCATTAAGTAGTTAATCTGAGTTGTAATAGGATGCGTGTTAATATGGCCACTTCTTAATATTAAATTATGATTATATATTTAGTTAGTATTTATTCCTCCATTATGACTAACTCCCCTTAACAACATGCGATCATGCTTATAAGTTGAAAAAAATGTTTTGTAAGACAGATGTCCGGAAAAAACTTTTCTAATATGAAATTCACAAATTTGTAGAATAGTCTATCATCTGAAATAGTGTTCAACATCTGTCACGACATAAAAATACATCTAGATCTTGGGTTCATCAAATGTACAATTGCAAAATGGTAAACATTTACTTAGAGCCTCGAGTTATTTATCTTCCTTAATGTCATATTAAAATAAGAAAATATTATCATAGAAACCTTTCCAAACCGCGCAAACTTTAAAATTCACTTTTTTTTACTAACCAATAATTAAACTCTACTTGCAATAAAAAGCGATTACATTAAACATTAAGAAATGAATCTCAATAATTTTTAGACTAATATTTTCAGTTAAAAAAAAAAAAATAATCTCAAAAAAGAAAGTTAATCTAAAGTTTTTTTATATCATAAATTTATTTGTGTATGGCAGTTTAAAGGCAAATCGCTTGCAAGCGTTTTGCCTTTAAACTGCCATACGTAAAATCACGCTTTTAAAAGTAACTGAAAGCAGCTAAAAATAAGAATTTTTTGGTAATTGTCTTATTTACAATATTGTTTTTGTTTTATTTACAGTATTGTCTTTGTTTTTTATCTAAACAGCTATGTTTGACTCAAATATAGTAAATGTTGATTGTTTAGTATGGTTTCATCTCTTCTTTATACTTTTTTTTTGACATTTATGAGACTGCTTTAGAACGGAATTATCTTTTCCTCCAGCCTAAAAGGATGCAGGTTACAAAAAAAGTGATGAAACACTGATGAAATTGTCTCTCAGTTTCTCAAAGATTAAAGAAATCTTTAGTGTTTTAGGGTTAAGTGATTCCATCAGAGCTTTGCTTGACTATCTCTTTCGATTTATTGAATTTATTTGCCAGGTATAGATGAAAAAAGATCTTCTAAACCAAGAATAAAAATTATTGAACAAAGACACCTTATGAATCAATAGTATATATCAGTGAATTGATATTAGTTAATAGTTTTTGGAAACAGTACCATGTACTATTAAAGTTTCTAATTTTTAAAATATATGATACATTTATATGAAACATACAAACAAATGATACAATATGATACGAGATTGACTATAATTATGTTGTATATCAGAATGTTTTATATAAATGCTTATTACATTTTATTGTGATTTTTATCTTTTATGCCCAGTTAGCAATGTATTTTGTGTAGCAATGACTACTAATCTCAGATATTTTTGACATCTGTAGGGTGTATTCAACGCTACAGATGTCATAATCTATTTATAACCAATTGCTTTTACTCTTCCATAATGTCATATTTTAATAAAAATCACATTATGATCACCGTCTAATACATACACATGAGGAACCATTATACTTTTAGTACAACCAATTATATTACATTTGTCTTCTTATTTTAGATGAACTTTCTTACTTCGGTTGGAGGAGATGAGAAACAGCTTACAGCGGCAATCTTAATACAGCTAATGGCCAAAGAAGTATGTTTTTCATACTCAGTGTATGGAATGAAACAAAAACGTCCTGCAAGGCCGTTATTGGTAAAGCACAATATTTGTATTCTACATCCCATTTCCTTTTATTAAATAAATATTTTAATAAAAGCTAATTACTTAACAATATTTATATGTGAAAAGTTATATATTTCAAAATTATATTGTGATGATATTCAAAAAACATTTTGTAGAGTTGCGTTTAGTCGTTTATCGTTGTATTCGTTCATTTCGAAATCGCTACTGACAAAAGTATTAAAGAAAAAATTGGCAACTTTCTGGCGACGGTTATTAATAGAGATTATGGAAGAAAAATAGAACCGTAACTGAGCAACGCCCAATATTGATATATATATATATATATATATATATATATATATATATATATATATATATATATATATATATATATATATATATATATATATATATATATATACATATTTTTTGTACGTGTAAATAACATTTTTTGTACATTTAAATAACATTGATTTTATTTTGTTATATTTTGGTTTTAGAAAACTCTATACCTCTTTTTTTTATTTGTATCTATTTCATATAAGTTCAAATAAATTTAATGATTTTGAATTTTTTTTTCTTAAAGCGTGTTCTATGATTATTGTCATCTCCTAGACTATAACCTGTTTGACTCAAAAGAATAATGCAGCCTAGTACTATAGTATCACTTAAACAAGAAAACTGTTAGTAATTTTAATTATTACAAATTTGTAGAAGGCAATATTTTTTATTATTTTTTAATATTAAAATTTAATCGAAAATACTCAATATATTGCCTTATTTTAGTTATATATATTATATATATCAGGATAATATTGTAAACTATATTAGGCCGATATTGGCCAGTATAATATCCCCATTATTGGCGCGATATTATTTACAATATTGGCGCAATTTTATAAACTATATCGGACCAATGTTGCAGTGAGAACATTTTGCGAATATTGGCCAATATTGACTTTACAGTATTGGTGCAATATTGTATCGCCAATATTGGCCAATATTGACTTTACAATATTGGCGCAATATTGGCCAATATTGGCAAAATGTTCACATTGCAACATTGGTCCGATATAGTTTACAATATTGCGCCAATATTGTAAACAATATCGCCCCAATATTGCGCCAATATTGTTTGCTACTAGGGTAGTTATGAATTTTGTCCAATATAAGTGAATTCTGGCCCACTGTGCAACGTAAGTACTGCGTTAGTACTCCACTGCGCTAGTTTAATTATTAAGTTAAAAACTAGTAATAATAAATCTGATCTTTTTAAATTTTCTTTAAATTCGATAATCTTTACCTTTTTTTTAATTAAACATGCGAATTGACTATAATTAAATATAGTCTATTTGCACGTGAAAAACGTGCGAATAGACACTCCTTTTAAATAATATACTTGTTAATTTGTTGGGTGATTTTACGCATGGAAAAAATTTGAGTTTTAAATAATATGAGTAATTAGGGACTGTCCATAAATTACGTAACGCTAACTTAAACTTAGAGTCAAAAGACAAAGGATTAAAAAGTTTTCCCTCGCAGAGCCATTAATTAAACCAAGTATATACTATAGTATAAGGTCATTTATGTAAATAACCTTTAAAGTCTTGCAAAAACCGCCGCGCAAAAGAGCAAAACAATCTGCTACTTTTTAAAAAAGTTTTGCGTTGCGTAATTTATGGACGATCCCTTAAGGTGAGTTTCCACTCATCCGCTTTTCTACGGGAAAGGGAAAGGAAAAATAATCACGTGAGCATGCGCAGATTTCTTTCTGACAAATAAAAACTCTTATTACGCATGCTCAAGTGATTATTTTATTCCTTCCTATCCCGTTCCCGTTGAAAAACGGATGAGTGGAAACTCGCCTTTATGTAATAAAATTTAAAGTTTTTTCAAAACAACTGTTATTTTTTTTCCATAAAATGTGTTTTTCAAAGTAATAATTTTTTTAATGTAATAAATTGTTTCTAATAAACTAAGAGGTAATATAATTTTTTTTTTTTGGGGGGTTTTGGCAAAATTTCACTTTTGATCCACTGTGGCATGGATGCAGCTTAATAAGATCACCACTGAATAGAAAACAACAAAAGAAAAATTAAATAAAAAAAATAATTTAAAAATCTTATTCATTAACGTTTATTTGTTTAGAAAATCTTTCCTAATGTCTGTAATTTTAATTAAGCTTTTTTTTTTTTAACTTTGTATCTAACTACTAACTATCTAACGCCCGACGACATTCGCTATGTATAATTCTTACAGCATCGCCAATAGCAAGCACAGAACTTATCATTTCCATCATTGCGGCTGGGTCAGGAAATTCTAAAGCCGCAGTTTTAGTGGCGGCAACTACTCCTCGTATGCATAATGTCAGATGAGTAGTACCTTCTTTTAATTTGTTTTTAATTATTTGATTAACTAGGCGTTCTGAAATTTCTTGTCCACTGTGAACTACTTTGTGGGCTGTTAGTATAACAAATTTTGAGTGTGAAACAAATATTGCAGGCTCCTCTCGATTTTCTACAGATTCCGTTAAGTTTTTCATTGATTCTCGAAGAAGCATTACCTGAGATTCAACTTGTCGGCAAAAAAATTCTAAAGCCTCTATATCTCGGTGATCTAATGGAGATAATGCAGTAAAGTTTCTTGTTTCGTCTCGTCCTTTCTCGTCAAAGTTAAATACATTTTTATTTTTATTGTCTTGAAGTACAGAAGCTGATCGCTGTTGAAAAGGTGTCAATCCAGGTGAGATTATAATCGAGTCTGAAGGATAGTTTTTATTTATTTTTTCATTATTGGTTTGTTTTATTTCGATCGTTTCTTCCTCGATGACGCTTGTTGCAATTGAAGAGCAACTCGACGCTGACTCTGCTCCTCGAAGAGGAGCGGCTGAGTTTCTATCAATAAGCATTGGGCAACTTCCACCCCATATAGTTTTTTGTCCATCTTTATATGGAGTAGTAGGGTCGGAGGCATACTTTTTGTACTTTATGTTGTCAGGAATATAGTCTGTAACAAGCCTCTCGATATGTCCTATTACTCGTGTACCTGTGTGTGGAGATAGCACAGCAACACGTGGAGACTCGGGAGGTTCAATTGTACCAGCCATTGAACGGCGTTCAGATGGCAGAGTAGGTTTTGGCGGAATACGTGGAGCTAGTTGTAGGTTATCTCTTGCGTGCTGTCGACGATCGGCTAGTTCTTTTTTTAAAAACTCACTCGACACGTTATTTTCATTAAAAAGTCGTGTTTTGACACCTGTTTTGTTCGAATCCGATTGATTTTTTGCAGGAGTCAAAACCTAATAAATCATAAACAATAATTATTAGTTAAATAAAAATTTAAAATTTCATAAAATAAAGTGACACAATATATTAAAATTTGCCTTGACTGGATCAGGAAGGAAGAACTCCGATGAATTTTTCTGTACAGCCTGAGTAAATAATTTGCACTGATCTGGAATTCGTTGCGAAAGAATCATAATAGCATTTAAAGTTGCAAAAAATTTATCCGTTAGGCTTGATCTAGTTTTAGGAACAGCCCAATTTTGGCCGTCTAAAAATTAAATTAATAGAAAACTAATCATTTTAAAACTTTGTTAATGCAATAAATATTTCTTAAAGTAATAAATAATAAAGTAATATCGCTGAGTTAATGATTTTAATTTACTTTTTCATCAACACTATTCAATGGTTTTATATACTTTATTAACACATAAAGAATTGTTAGAATTATACATTTAAAAAAATCTATAAAGTTACTTTATCCATAATTTTGTTTACATAATTAAAAATTTTTGAAATTTACTAAAAGCACAATTTGAATATTGTTAAATATTATAAAAAATGATATTTTTAAAGAGGAAGTTAAATGATTTTTAGACATACCAATGTAATAAAATAGATCAATTAATATAAATAAAAAAATAAAAATTATTTTAATTAGATTTTGAAAATTTAAATAATTTATAGTTAATAGCGATAGTAATAGACGTTTGAACGACATTAATAAAATTATTAAACTTTAGTAAATCTAAAACATCAAAACTTATATGATCAATTTTTTTTTTAATTTAAAATTGAAGTTTTATTTTAAGATTTAAGATTTGAAAATAATAAATAATAATTTTATACTTATTTAATTAAAAAATAAAAATATAAACTCAAATCCTAAAGTCAATCAGAAGTAGTCTGTTGCAAAAAGAAAATTTTTTCAATATAGAAACACTTCAAAAAAAACATTACCTAAATGTAAAATACAGATTTTGATTTTGTAATATGATTCCAAAAGTGATTCTACGTCAGTTATTAAGGAATCCATTAATGCCTCTCCATTTACACATCGTGTTGTATTAACCAAGGTGCCAAGGCCAAACTCTGTCAATAAACGTAATGCTGTTTTTAATTTCCCTGAATAGTCTCGAATTGCAACAATATTGTTTTGCAGGAATGAGATATCTAACCAGTTATTAACGCAAAATGATAAAAGTGTATGGACGCAAGTATCTACTGCTAAATGAAGTTTCCTGAGACGTTCAAGAGCTTCTGAAACTGTGATATCTAATTCTTTAACAGCTTCAAAATTTATCTGATCAAGTAAAGATTTTTTATGATCTCCAGCGTTGTTGCTACTGTTACTACTGTTACTACTGTTACTGTTATTTCTGTTTTGAGAAGACGAAGAAGATGTAATCTATAACATAAAACAAATAGTCTTTTATGTGTTTGAGGTATTTGTAGTCTATGTAGGGTATTTGAGGATTTATAAGGTCTTTGAAATCTGGACTACAGTTAATTTTAAAAATTGTATTTAATAAAAAGTTAAGTTTAAAATAATTTATATAAGTTAGTTTAACCATAACAAATAAACTAAAAAAAGTTGTGTCATGGCCTACGATATTACATAGTATAGTAGGCCATGGTTGTATTTAATGAAAAATCTTTTCGAATATTAATTTCAATATAATTATGTCTTTGTAAAGATTTAAAGAAAGTTAAGATAATAATAGAAGACAAAATACTCAAGTCATTAGAACTTACCTATTTTAAGCATAAAAAAAAACCAAACATTATTACTGAATATTATATAAGTTAAAATCTAACCGCTTATTATCACATATAACTTTGGAAATACAGGGCCGACGACACGTTTTCGAAATGAGGGGGGGGGGGCAATCGTCATTTCTTAAAAAAAGTCTTCTATATCTAGAATTTTAATAATAATAAAAAAAAAAGAGCCTTTAGAAAAAAAGTGTGGGGGGGGGGGTGGTCACAAGCTCCCTGGCCCTCTCGGTGTTGTCGGCCCTGTAATAATATTTTATATTAATATTAAAATTATAATACATGATATATCAATAAACATAAAAAAGGCCTAGAAGTTTTGCTGAACGTTTCGCTTTTTTTTTTAAAAGCATTTGCAAAAAAGCGTGTTAATAAAAACAAAAACCTATATTTTTCATTAAAAAAAAAAAAACACTGGGTTTTTGAAACTAATTATATAGAAAATACTAAAATAACTATAGCGTTATTGGACGTTGATAAATATTTATTTAAATTTATAAAAAATGTGTTTTTAAAAAATTAACATATATTCAGAGAAATTTGCATATTTCTCTGAAGATGTATTAATGAAACGTTAATCAGCTTTCCAACAAATATTTGAGTTTTTTTGGTTTTTATATAAAAGATTTTATTCCTTTTTTAATTTTAATCAAACGCATTTATGTGTTTGATTAAAATTATAAAACGAATAAAATCTTTTCTCTTGAGAAATGCGCATTTGTGAAATTACTTGAATAAGCATCGTTGCTTAATCAATCAGATCAATTAAATATTTTTTTTTTATTTTTTTTACTGGTTTATAAGTTATAATATTAACATGGTTTTCACAAATATTTCAATATATATCAAATAAAATATATATAACACAATCTGCAAAATATATATAACACAGGTCTGCAACATTTTTTTTTCTAAGATTAAAGAGTTAATGTGTTTTTGGTCGCTGAATCCGAAAAAGTTATCAAAAAAATTCGATCACGTAAGGTTTTTCTAAAAAACGCAAAATGTTGTGGGATTGCCTATTTTATGGCGCAAAACGGGGTTTATAGCCAAAATATTTATTAATTTATTTATTAACTTATTATAAGATAATTTTATGTTTCGTAGGTTAAAAAAAAATATTTCGTAACTCATGAATATAATATTAGTCGGCGTTGAATCTTATATATATCGCGATTTTCCATAGTAAGTATGGAAAATCCCGATATACACAAATCCCAAAATTCCCAAGGAATTTCCCTTTCGTTTATTTATTTCTGTTCCAACTTTCGTAACATGCAAAAATGATTTCAAGAGGTTGTCTTAGTTTTTTTGAGAGTTTTTGCAATATTTGTGGTGAATTTGTAGTAAAAAAAAAAACAAAGAAATATTACTAAATTTGTTAAAAAAGTATACTTTGCGTATTTTGGTGTAAAGATAGTCAATCAGGACAAATCTTGGGCCCCGCATGGAGTTTGTTCAGGGTTTGTTGAAGGACTTAGAATGTGGTCAAAAGGTAAAGCTAAATCTTTTCATTTTGTGCTCCCATGATCTGGAGAAAGCCTCGAAACCACAGCAATGACTGCTACTTTTGTTCGTGCAATGTGCAGGGGTATAGTACCAAAAATAAAATGGGACATAGTACCAAATTGCTGATTCCATGTTTGGATAAAAAAAAAAATTTTTTATCCAAACATGGAATCGGCAATCCGCCCAGTCCCTCACGGACCTGGCATTCATACACCACAGCCTAGATAGATAATTTACCCTCATTAAAAAGTGATTCAGAAGAAAGTTCTATTGAAGAGTTTCAAGTAGGCGACTCCAGTAGTCCTCAACAATTTTCTCAAGCTGAATTAAATGATCTGATCCAAGATTTAGGACTCTCAAGTCAATCTGCTGAGTTACTAGGATTACTGCTGAGTTACTAGGATCTAGACTGCAAGAGAAAAATTTATTGACACCTGGAAAAATATTTTGAGCCTTATTTTTCTCAATATGGTGAGCTGGTCTTTTGTTCCAATATCAATTGTTTAATGTCCATGTTCAAAGTTCAACATATAGCTGAAAATTGAAGACTGTTTATTGATTCTTCGAAAAGAAGTATAAAAGCTGTTTTACTTCACAACGAAAATAAGTACGCATCAATACCCGTTGGACACTCAGTGCATTTGAAGGAAACTTATTGTAACTTGGCATTGATCTTGGATAAATTAAAGTTTTCGAGAAAGAATTCGAGTGGACAGTTTGTGGGGATCTTAAAGTAATTTCTATGATAATTGGACAGCAAGGTGGTTACACAAAATTTCTCTGTTTTTTTTTTATGAATGGGATAGTCGTGCTTAAATTTGAATTGAAGTTCGGAATACATAAAATAATACATAATAACTTTCTTTTTATTATAAATATTGGTAAAAAGAAAAACAACTATTTTTTATCTTTGTGGTATAAGGAATACTCTTACTTAAAATACAGCATATTTCATGGTAGCATTTAACTTAAGCTTTTATTTTTCAAAGAGATCAGGCAGAAAGAATAGTGAAATTGCTTGGGTAGAAAACGGTATTTACAAGTGGCATAAAATTAAAAGTTGATGAAAGAATGATAAAAATGGAAAACTTCTAGAACAAATTTTATCATAAACTTTATTACAAGATTATTGTATTTATTGCAACACATATCTTCTTGGACAAGAAACAAACGCAAATTGTTATTAACAAAAAAAAGGAAATGAAGTCTAAGCGTGTTAAAAATTTTTTTTTTGGTTTGGCTAGAACATTGGGCTAAAAAAAATAGCCGCTATTAAAACAACTAGTAAATATAAAATTGATCTGGTAAAAGAAGGGTAGGCGTTGGCCCTAGGAGTATGTTAAATATTTAAATATAACTTTGTAAATATATAAGTATAAAAGTATATAAATATAAAATTTTGTAGTCAGTTTGTTAATACGCATTTAGTTTTTTGATTATTTTTTTAGATCTACCTAAAAATAGTACAAAATTATGTTTGCAATTCACAAATTTGTTTCAATGCACCTTTTATCACATGAACTTCAGCCATAAGTTTTATGTGGGTTAACCTACCCTTACCATTGGGCCAAGTTAACTCAATAACGGGGTAAGTTGGCCCACCCAACATGACCTAACAAAAATAGTTATGCATTGAAAACCAATAACGAATTTTTAATAATATTATTTTTAGATATTCCAATGTCTCCTTTTTTATGAAAAAATAAAATAAAACATGAAAAGCTAAAAACACTGCAAAGAAAAAAGGTGATGTTCTACATATTTATAGTACTTTCTTTTATAAATTATTTTTAATGCAATAAAGTTAACCAATGTTATTTTTAATACAATAAAGCTAACCAATGTTATTTTTAGTACAATAAAGCTAACCAATCTTATTTTTAAAACAATAAAGCTAATAAGTATTTAGCTTTATTTTATTTTTTTTAAATGCAGTTACTAGATGTTTTAAAAAAAAAAAACATGATGCACGAAGATATAGTACAAACAGAGCCGTTCACATTTTTCACCACATTGGATGGTGGAAAACGTGCATCAAATCAAAAAGAGAGTCAGATGACAGAAGGATAAAAAGATACAGACGATTTTGATATTGATGATAAATTTAACGATGACATGATTTTATCAAGATCGTTTTAAAAGCAATTTTAATTATGTATAATTTTTTGTTTTAAAAATCTTTAAAATCATTTGTTTTTATTTGTTTACAATTATAATTTAGTTACTTGCGTTAACGAAATAACAAAATAACAGGGGGCAGCTTAATAAAGGGGCAGATCATTTGTAAAACTATAATAAGAGAATAATATAAAATTAACTATTAATAATAATAGGTGAAAACTGTAACAACTGAGAACAAGATGTGTCTATGATAATTTTATAGAGAATTATTGTTTCTTTATAATATTTTACTCACAAAAACACTTTGTACAAATTGTACAAAAAATAAATATTTTGCGCGTTTAAAGAGTTACGGAGCTGTATTTTAAAAGTTCATAAAGTTCATTCGTTGAATCATTGCTAAATCAACGTTAATCTAACGTTGATTTTTGGGTTATTTTTATTTAACTCAAAATCAACCATTATTCAGAAGCTTATATTTAGGTCACCCATAGTAATGCAAAAAACTGAACAATTTTATAACTGCGTATTGCTCATTCCTGAAAGTTAGAAATAAATGACCAAGTAAATATATTTAAAACTTTAATGTAATTTAAAAAAACCTTGTTTCTTCTGAGAGCCAGTACAAATACTTTTTGATCCTAATAGTAGTTTCGTTTCTATGTAACAGTGAAACCAAACTGAGTTAAACTTGCTTGATTTTTTTTTTTGTTCAATTGCATTTCTAACTTTTTTTTTGTTTTGACCAAACTACCAGTGGCGTGACAAGATTCTTTAGCGCTAAGATCATTTTTTTTTTTTAATGAAAAAAACCTTTTTATAAAAACAAGGTTTTTTCTTTGTTCCTTCTTTTATGTTTAGAGTTCCTTCAACCATTTTACACCTCAAACATTTTAATCCTCGTCTAGCTACGCCACTGCAGACAACTTTGTTAGTTTACACACAAAATAAAAAAAAATACATTTTCAAATTTGTATCTTTTTTCAAAACTATAAATTTTTTTTTTTTAGATACAGATTTTGTAGCCCAGACTTCATTTAGTTTTTGACAAAGTTACTAAAAATCTATTTTATTTAAAGCTTTAAATTTTAAACAGTAACATAAACTAACAAAATATTTTATAATTAAAAGTTTTTTCCGAGAAAGTATTTTCAAAGCTATGCAGATTTCTTTAGGTTTGTTAATAATAAATAATTAATTAATAGAACCTCAAGACCGGCATATATGTAAGAACTCTAATAAAAACTAATTTTCTTAAAGAGAATATGTTAAATAACAGTGTGTTAACAATCGCGAGTTTGCTAAAATAACAATGAGTTGCGCTTCATGATTTAGTGAGACGCGTAGTTTAAATTTCAATAATTTTTTAATTTAAGTAAAAATAATGCACGCAGTGGTTTTAATTAGTATAAATAGTAGTATTAAAAATATGAAAATCCAGTTAAATTTTTAAAAAAAATAAACAAAAATGAAAAATAAACAAAAATGTTGAAATTGTAAAAATGAACATATAAATTTTATTTATAATTAATTGTTAATAAGGCGCCTAAAGTAATAGATTATACAATTCAATACAACTTGTCAATTTTAGTTTTTGGCGCGTGTTACAAATCTAAAATATAAAAAGTTAATTAAATTTTTTTATAATCTATAATTGTTTTTTTTTTCTTTCCCTATTTGAATTTTTAAGATAAATATTTGCTAAAAAAGCAAAATCCTAAAACTTTCTTATTTTTGAATGAGGCTTTTTTTTTTTTTTTTTTTTATTTTTTATTTTTTTTAATTTTTATAAATAAAAGCATTATTTTGTAATTACGTAAACTTCAGGAAAAAAAAAGAAAACAAATTTGCTGCTAGCAGATTTTAAAAACAATATTTGTAGAGTTTGTCACATTAGACAAACAATATGTTAATGGCTTTAATTTGAGCCGTAATAACTTTACCCAATCATTTTTTAAACAAAAAAAATAAATACGTTAAACATGAAATTACACATTATGCATAATTTTGTATGATTTGTAACTTTACAAAAATATACAAGATTAATTGAAATCAATTTAAAAAGCAGTATCCAAACGAATCAAATATAAATATTATTTTTTGGTTGCATGCTGAGTATCTTTATCAACTCAATGGAGATTGACGTTCTTCTACTTATGTTACATACATTATATTTCTTCGTAATAATTTTTTTTTTTTTGAAGAAGCTAAAGATTTATAACAAACAAAAGCATACTTTTAATAAGTATAACTATTATTTGCTTTAAAGCGGTAATAAAATAGAAATGCTTATTAAATTAAAAGGTTTTTTACGCTTTATTTTTCTGTTTCCTCAACGTGGCTTTATATAGAGACGCCGACAGGGTTTTTCATAATTCAGATGCAGCATATTCAGGCATTGTGCAAACATTAAACTTAGGCTCGTTTATAGGTAGGAAAAATTCAGGCTCTTGTCACTGCAACTTTTTTGCAAAGCATTTTACATAACTTTAACTAAAATTAATATTACATAATTACTAACATACTTAAATTTAAAACTTGCGCAATGCGTGAAAGTGCCACAGTAAAATATCAAAAAATATTATCGGATCCCCTGGCTTTAAAACAAACTATCTTTGCATTAAGTGTGTTAAAGTACAAATTATGCGCTAAGTTAGCGAAGACCTGATTCAAACTCATGTAATGCGCTTCAAAAGTCAACATTTTATTAGACGCTTTAACCAATCGAGATATACGGCAATCAATGCAAGACCTTTCTTTTTCTTACTTTTTTTTTTTTTAATTGAGTTCATTTAGTTTAATTTTAAAAGTTTAAAATTGACAAACTAATTATTTAGTTATTCTACCATCTTCAAAAGGATCATAAAGATGCCAAATCCGGATTAAGACATTGTTGATGAAACCGGTTTATAAACTTTATAAAATTTAACGCTTAAAATTCTATTAGTCATACACGGATAATTTCAAATTACTTATATGTCTTGTTTTACCAATATAAAAAAAACTAAAACAACGGCATAGAAACATCACTACAATATTAAAAAAAAAAGTTAGAACAAAAAAATAAAATAATAATAAAGTAAATAAAAAACACTCACGTGTTCTTGAGCAAGTTCTTTCGGTGGCTCGTTATTCCAGATGTCGTGATAATCAATATAATCGTCGTCATTTGTGTCTGGTAAAACTAAATTCCCAGGGTTATTTTTCCGTTCTCTGCAATGCGGCGAGTATGCTGTGTAATTCAGTTCTTGGTTGATATTACGTTTCAAAGGGTCTTTGCGTATTTCTGCATTTACTGTTTTATTATTTTGAGGCACGTCGTAAAGCTCCTGAGTCCTGTTATTGTGATCATGAATTCTGGTTAACGGGGTGTCATACAGTTCTGTGCCAGATCTGGGAATGTCATAAATGTCATCAGCAATATAATCTTCAACAAAGTAATGCGAAGTATTCTTTGATGGAACATCGTACACATCAGCATTTTCAGATTTAGTAGGAGTTGATTTTGGTTGAAAAGGATTAACGCTATGATTGCTACCTTTTAATAAAGGAATATCATAAACTTCCTCAAAAACCTTAGCAACAGTTTTGTTGACTACTTTTTGCGTGCTTGTTTGGTCTTTTAAATTTAACATATCGATTTTTGTTGACAGATTGTTATAAATATTTTCGTTGCTTACTTTTGTTGATGTATTTAATTCTTGACTATGTCTACTGTTACGAGGCGTCGTTTGATTGCTACTCTTTGGTGAGCGCTTTATTGTATTACTATTACAATCCGCACTAAATGGAGAGTCATATATCTCATCCATCAAAGTAGCAATATCAAGGTCGTTACTTAACCCTTTATCTTGTTTTGAAACTTTTAAAGAATCTTTGTTAACAATAGACTGGTTTTTTTTTGAAAATGCGTTATTTCCACAAACGGGTACATCATAAAGATCATTACCTAATATTTTACTTCCGTCAGAGGTAAGAGATATATTTGATGAATCGAAAGATTTATTTTCGTTTCTATTTAAGGTAATATTTTGAACTGTTTTATTTAGTTTTTCATTCTTATCGAATTTTGGAACGTCATAAAATTCTTGCTGATTTGATGGAACATCATATATATCTTTTGCGTCTTCTTTTATTAGATTTTTTGATTTTTCGTATGATGTAACATTAAACGATTCATTGCTTATAACATCCTTTTTTAAAGGTATATGAAACATATCTTTAATGGTTAGTGTTGTTGGATTGGATTTTACAGGATTCGGCAAAACATCATAACTATGGCCGCCATTTTCTAGAAGATCTGCACTATCATAAGAGTCATCAGTTTCGTATGAGCCTCTCTTTCGTGTTGATTTTTCAAACTTGTCTAGTTCCATAGGAGGAATAACTTGCAGCCGATTACCAGGTACAATTCCTTGTCTTCCGTGAAGTAAACACAGCCACCATCCTAACAAACCATCTACGTCTTGCTCAATTACAGTTACAATATCTCCTTTACGAAAACTGAGTTCGTCTGGTGCATCTGCAAAGTTATCATATATGGCTTTTGCTAAAAGAGTCTAAAAATAAATAAAAATTATCATATGAATAGTATCATAGATTGTCATACCTTCATTTTCTTAACAAATTTACTTCAATTTCTATCTATATTACAAACCTGTATCAGTTTATCCTCTATAACCTCACAAGACGAACTGTTACTCTTGCTTGCAGGACTATTAAGAGTGCTGTTACTTGCGTTGAGGGTGTTAAGGGTGCTGTTAAGGGTGCTTGTAGTGCTACTATTTGAATCGTTCTTGGTTTTCTGCGTTTCGTTTATAATTTGAACCACCCCATTTATTAGTTGCGCATCATTTTTTATCATATAGTTTTTGTCTTTATCTTTACTTTTCATTCTTTTAAGCGTGTTCCAACCCATAATTGTTTTAATTTTTTAAACTGTTTGATTTGTAAAAGTATTAAAGTTTTAAAAAGTATTATAATAATAACTAATTATTAAAAATATAAACAAACATTTTCTTTATTAAACTGCAGAGTGTAAACGAATATTTGTCTCTAACTACATATTAGTTTTTAGTTGTCATACTTGAGTGAATATATCTTTTTAACAGAGATGAGCGGCTCTGAAATTGATTAATCCACTTAAAGAACATAAGATATCTTTTATTGTAAAAGCTATTAATATTGCTTCTATATATATTAAAGCAATATATATATATATACATATATATAGCATTAATATATATATATATATATATATATATATATATATATATATATATATATATATATAGTATTGAATAGTAATATTATAAATTATAAAATAATTAAATCTTAAAAAGAATGCGTAAATAAAAAATATAAGTAAAAAACATATTTTACTTATCTTTTATCAGCTTTATAAAAGATGAAAGAAAATTTACGTTAAACCGGTTAAAAAACTTTGCTTCTAACTTTCGAACTCGCAAGTAAAATATAGAGTTAACGTTTTACGATAATTCACAATATCATTAAATTTCAACAACTTTTGCTATTTTAAAATATAAATATATTAAATGTATAAATTTATGTCTTAAAAATTAATTTGATCCATAACAACTACTACAATAACAAAAAGTGTGACTCAAAAAAGTTTTAAACGACACTCAGTCGCGTGTAAACAAACTGGTTCTATTAAAGAACTCTTACAAAACACTCGTCTGTAAACATGCAATTCGCTGACATCATTGACTATTCATAAAAACAAATATTATTTAACAATTATAAAACTGTCACTTGCTCGTGTTGTTACAATTAGTAAGTGTAGTTGACACTTGATCAAAGTTCAATTCTTTTTTTAATATAATTTGCGTTGAGTTGAATATAATAAGAAAGAAAAAGACTGATAAATATTTTATGATAAAATATTTTATGATAAAACAGTGAAAAACGTTTAAAAAAAAAAAAAAAACAGAAATCAACTCTGATAAGATTTTTATATGTAATGCAAATATTCAACAGTGGCGATTATTTGGTAAACTGCTTATAATGTGTATAATGGTAGAAAATCTAATCTACACGTAAATTCCAATCATATTACCCTTCTGAAGTATAAACCTGATTTTTACACTTTATACATATTTTAATAGATATTCAACACTCAGGGAAAAACGTAAAACTCAGAGATAGTGTAAAACTATTTAAGATATTATAATCTGTTAAAGATTCGCATGGTTTTCGTTGCGTCGTAAAAACTGTTTTTGAAGCTAATTTATCGTGAAATCAAGAATTTGTCATTTATTCCGTAACATCTTAAAAATTCCGTCGAGTCATCGTTAATCCTCCATAAAATCAACAACTTGTCGTATAATTGTCAATGTTTGTAAAATTGTGATAGATTGCAATAAAAATAGTCTACAACCGTCAATCAAAGCTGTTGAAAAAATTTCGTATATTAAATATTAATAACATTTTCACAAGTCCAAACAAAAATTAAAAAAAAATTTGCTTAGAATAAAGGAAATACTGAACATATACCGAAACAACTTGACATCGTTTTTAATTTTATGCTCAAGATTTAACATAAAAAATTATAAACTGCAAAAAAATGCGAAAACCATACAAAAGATAAAAAACTTTTGAACGAATGACACGGAATTTACAAAACATTCAAATCTTAAAAGTTATTGGAATGTCAATATAATGGTAAAAGGAAGCAAAAGAATGTTTATTAATCCGCTATGAAATGTCTGCTTTTGTCATCGGATTCCGAGGGAAACTTAATTATAACGACTTTAAGTAAAATTTTCAAATAAGTTTCATGTTTAAATAAACAGACTAATGTTTCTTCTTGTATAAGATGTAATAATATAATATAAAATTAATATAACTGAAATCTTTATTTAGTATTAATATAACTACATTAATACTAAATAAAGATATTTTGTTAATGTTACATATATTTAATATTTATATGTAACATTAACAAAACTGAATTATTAATGATACATTATGCTGTATTGCAATATATAAGTTATACCAACATTAGTATAACTGATGTATTGTAAATCAAGTTAAGCCAGGTAGTTTAAATCAGCAAGTTTAATCTAGTTTTTTATCTCAAAGTCTTCTAAAAATAGTAATTGTAAAAATGCTAAAACAATCTCAACTCAACTCTTTGCCATCTTAACATATGATGCCCTCTTATTACATTAAAAAAAATTATTTTTAAAGTTTAAAACTGATTATAATAAAAAAACAAACACTTTGGTTAGAAATTGTCTCACGTACTTAGGAAAAATATTTTAATACGTTTTGTATAAGCTTCCTCAATAATTACTATTTTTAAGTGTCGGGAAAGTTTGAAAAGAATAAGCACAACAATTAATAACTGATGATTGCTATCATCGCCAATTTTTTATCAAGCATATTGCGTTCACTCATAATACATTTGAATTATTTGCACCATGGTAACATCAAATACAATGATAATAAACAATTTTATTTTCAAGCAATGAAAATACAATTAAATTTTTACTTTTTTTCACAAGACGTTTTTGTTGACGGTTTTGTCTTCAGTTAAACGAACTGTTACGGCTTTCACGTTATCAAATTAATTTAAGGACTTTTTTTAATCTACACTAAACTCTAATACAAGTTCACACAGACTTAATGTCTGTTGTCTGTTGTTGAAATTTCATTTACTAATTGCTTCATGTTTATGTGTTTTTCAATGAAACAATATAAACCAATTAATCTGATATAAAAAAAACTTGTTTTTTTTTTTCTCTATAATTAAATTTTATTTTGTTTATGTTTGTTTATGTTTAAGGTTGTTTATGTTTCTTTGTAACCCTCAGTAAAGTTTAAACAATTTAAGCACCAATAGAGCATTATTGAGCCCACTCCCCCTCCCTCTCCCGGATTTTTTATTTTTTATTGAGCAGTAGTTTAATAAAATCAGATGATACTGAAAAGCTCAAATTTTAGTAATAAAATCTGAAGTTATTGAATTTTTTCAAAGGTTTTGAGTAACGCATAGCGGTGTTCAGTTTTTAAGTTGGGGTCACATCTGATAATGCATTGATAAAAATGCATGTGTCAAATTTTTTATCTATCGAGAGGACATTTTCTTTTAACCTTCTTCTGAACTTTCAAAAGACTATTTTTTCAGACATATCAGCTAGGTTATAAAGGAATTTCTAGGGTTAATTTTTACATTATTTCTAACGTCAATGGTATATTGACCTCTCTCGCATGTTAACAACCACATTTATTTTTTACTTTTAAAACAATGTTAGGATTTTATTATAAAATTAGGATTTTATTATAAAACCAAACTTATCTTAAATTCATACATTTAAGATAAGTTTTGTTTTTTAGGTAATTGATTTAAACTTTTAGGACTTAAATTCCGCAAATATTTAATTAATAAAATACCCAGGTTTAAAACTTTTACCCTTTAAAAGGAGATATTTTAGCTCTTATATATTATTTACTTTTACTTGTACCAACAAACTGTAGTTAAAATTTTTTGTGTACTACATTTTGCATTTTGCGTAAGATGATCTTAGTTAATATGTTGTTAAATAATATACACACTAAAATATAAAAAAATACTTTATACAGAGTATTTATAACGTTTCTTATAATTTTTTAGGGAATAATGCAACAGAGTGTACATACATCAACTGGTTTAAATAGGGAGAACATGCAGGGAGTGAATTGACTGACTTGAATAGGGAGAAAATGATAGAAGTGTCACTACTTTAACTAAGAATTTTAGCCAATCTACCAATTAAAACTCACTTTACTTTTAATTGTGTAGAATTACAACTCTTTTTTTTTTTTACTTTTCTGTAAAGTTAAAACTTTTGTACAAGATATTCTTTACTTTTTGTTCATTTAATTATTAATGAAACTCTGAGATTACCTCAGTGTCATCGCAGTGGGCACTGGACCAAAAACAGACGTTTTTTGAACGTTCTAAAAAGTTCAAAAGACGTTTTTAACGTTCTAAGATGTCTTTTTATAAAAATTTTAAAGAAAATAGTTGTCAATGAGTCACTTTTGCTTAAAATGGCCGAAAAATTTGGACCTTTTGATCAGAAGTAAAGTGCCTATCACTTTGTCCAGTAAACATCGTTTTTTTTTGTACTTATTTTTCAAAGTTTTTTTTTTTTTTTTTTATGAAAGATTTATTTTTATGAAAGAATTTTTTTTTCAAACTTCAAAAACAATTAAAAAAGTAATTAACATTTACAACAAATAAACTTGATTAGTTTTGAATAGGCTAGACTAGACTTGATATTCAAAACATAATATTCAAGACTTCATAACTGATTAGTCTTCAATAGTTTATTCAGGCCCGTCATATGTTGTATTCAAGCCCGTCATATGTTGTATTCAGGCCCGTCATATTTTGTTATCAGGCCCATCATATGTTGTATTCATATTCATATTTAATTTTTCCTTTGATTTCTGAAATCCTAAATAATTGGAAACATATTACTTTACATTTATAACATCTGTGATGAAGATAATATTTGTTAGTATTCAAACTACATTACAATGAAGTTTGGAAACTTATTTTATGTTCAAGTTTTTTTTTTTATACTGACTATTTTGTTTTAAATATTAAAATCAGTGCCGTGGCAAGTGGGTTGAAACCCCTTCTACCCCTCCCCCCCCCAAAAAAAAAAAAAAAAAAATCTCTGCTATTAGCCCAATAAGCACATATTGTTTTTAAACCGTCTTAAAAACGTTAAAAACCGTTTTAATAGGTTTTTTAAACGTTTTAAAAACGTTCTGTGCTTACTGGGAGGGCCCCAAAATCTTAATAATTTTTTCACAAGGTATTACCAAAACATAAAAAAAAGCTCCTTAAATTTGCAAAATGGCTCCTAAATTTCCAAATGAGCACCCTAAAATTGCTGCACCACTCGCCTTAATTAGGGGATGTGGGGAGGCCTGATTTTAATGGTATAAGGACAAAAAAAAGAAAACGAAAAGTTGGATGGAAAATATTAAAACTGGTAAATATCCAACACAAAAAAAAAACTTAATGAAAAAATGAATTTTTTGATATTTAAGTGATATTTTTTTGTATTTGTATGTATATTTTGTTAATAAACAAATAAATTTACAATGTACTTGTAAAAAAAATATATATATTCTTTAAATTCTGACAGTAGCAAACAGAAGACAATACATCTCATCACCTTGCTCCTTAGGCAGTGTAGTAGTTAACTTGACACGTAGTTAACTTGACTAGTAGTTAAATTTACACGTTCAAATTCATAAAATATATAAGTATAAAATTAGTTCTTACATATTTAAGAGTTAAACATGTACATACATATTAGTAAATATATTACAAGATAAATAAATGCATAACAAAACGAATTAAAAATACAAAAAAATGTTTTTACTGGTTAGATTTAACAAATATTGTTTCACTAATTTTTTAAAAGCTTTAATTGTAGGAATATAGATTTTATGTCATTATTCAAGTCCAACAGAAGTGGACCACGACAAGTAATTTAGTAGATTTTTTAAGTGTTGTTAACGAAGTGTAAAATATAATGCTTCAATGTAAGATATAATGCTTTATTGATCCATTTTAACTATGGTAAAGCCAATTTTATCTAACTCATTTTGAAAGTTAATCTATTTTAGATAGTTTGTTGGTGAGCATAAAAAAGCGTCATAAGCAATGGCCATAGCAACAACATTTTTTTTTTTGTCAAATCATTCTTAAACCTGTTTTCCACAAGAAGAAAATATTTGCGCGAAGCGAATTTTTTCGTCGATAAGCATGCGCAGAAAAAAATACTTTTGTCAACATTAAGAGGAATGTTTTATCTTCGCATGCTTGTCGATAAAAAAAATTCACTTCGCGCGAGTATTTTTGTCTTGAGGAAAACAGCCTTTAAAGATCAACTGCATAAAAAAATAAACATTTTATAGTTTATTTTGCCAGCTTAGTTTGGAAGTGATTACTTAAAGTCTTTATGCCAAAATATCTATAAATTAACAATAAGTAGTATTTATATCCATTGATACAACAAGCTTTGTTTTTATTTCAATTAAAGATAAAATTTATATACATATATGCATTACTAAAGATAGTATTTATATACATATATGCAAACATGAAATAGAAACAACTGAACGGAAAAAAGACTTGGGTGTATTGTTTACAAAAGACCTGAAATGGAAGGAACATATTGCAACTATAACTAATAAAGCAAACCGTTTTTTAGGTTTAACAAGGAAAATTTTACCAACAGAATTGTTAACAATTGGAATAAAATAAGTTTGCAAACAGTAAATACAGAAACAATTATTAAATTCAAAAACAATATAGACAATGGTTATTTTAAAAACAATTAATTCGAAGACTATTCAACTTAATACTGCATTCCTTTTTTATATATATATATAAAACCATAGCTATAACATTGTATTATTATTATTACTATTATTATTATTATTATTATCATTATTGCTATTATTATTATTATTATTATTATTTATTATTATTATTATTATTATACATATATACATATACATATATATATATATATATATATATATATATATATATATATATATATATATATATATATATATATATATATATATATATATATATATATATATATATACATATATATATATATATATATATATATATATATATATATATATATATATATATATATATATAAATACATATATATATATATATATATATATATATATATATATATATATATATATATATATATATGCATATATATATAAATATATATATATATATATATATATATATATATATATATATATATATATATATATATATATATATATATACATATATATATATATATATATATATATATATATATATATATATATATATATATATATATATATATATATATATATATATATATATATATATATATATATATATATATATATATATATATATATATATATATATATATATATATTAGTGATGTGCCGGGTACCGGTTCGGACCCGGGGACCCGGCAATTCGGTTGTTTTACCGGGTACCCGGTATCGGCGATTTTGTTGCAGTACCCGGCACCGGGTATCTTCAAATTGATTTTTCTTTTAAACTTTTAAATTTAAACTTTAACCATTCTTGATAAAAATCTAAGAATGTTATGTAGTCGATAACCACAAAGTTCTATTAACTTAAAACAATCTCACTTAAAATAATTTTTAATACATTTTTGCAAAAAAATTTATACGGATACAAAATCTGAAACGCTAAATGAAATAATTCGAGACTACAAATAAAAAAAATGAGAAAAAAAGTTTTAGAATAGCTTCTTTTTATTCTGTTAGAACACAAGATAATTTTTAGCAATTAAGTTTTGAATGTAACGCTTATAACGCTTTCGAACGCTGATACCACTTTTCATTCGTATCAAGCAAAAATCATAAAAGTAGAGATATTAGGTAAATATTATACACATTTTTCATATTTTAATTTCGATAATAACTATAATAAAATATTATTTAGGCCCGCTCCACCAGGTAAAAAAAATATATATATATATATATATATATATATATATATATATATATATATATATATATGTATATGTATATAAATATGTATATAAATATGTATATAAATATGTATATAAATATGTATATATATATGTATATAACAATTAACAATAATTGTTAATTTACATTATAATTATTATTTTACATTAAACAATTTATTATACAAAAATCAGTTTGGATTTCAAAGTAAGTGTTCTACTGAACATGCTATTATTAAACTTGCTGACAAAATATTTAAGTCGTTTGATAGTGATGAGCTGGCATTAGAAGTGTTTGTCTTCTTTGATACGGTTGATCACAGTATTTTACTTTCCAAGCTAAAATATAACGGTATAATAGGCTCAACATTTAAGTGGATTCAAAGCTATTTGTCTAATAGAAAGCAATTTTTATTATTAGTAAAGTCAGGAGCCCTCGATATTACGTGTGGAGTTCCTCAGGGTTCTAGGTCCATTATTGTTCTTAATTTATATTAACGATATGCATAAAACATCGCAAAAAATATTTACAATTATGTATTCTGACGATACAAATTTATTTTTTAATCATCCTGATGCAAAGACTTTGTTTGAAACTATGAATATTGAACTTGATTCAACCTCTGGTTCATAGCAAATAAATTATCCCTAAATTGTCAAAAAACTACTTTTACCTTTTTTCATAAAAAAAAACAATCAATTAATCTCCCTTTAAAGCTTCCTAAACTGCTCATTAATAAAAATGAAATCAATCGTAAAAAATGTACAAAATATTTGGGAGTGCTTTTTGATGAAAATTTGTCATGGAGAAACCATATTGGTCTTCTTGAAACAAAAATGTCCTCTGTAATAGGTGTTTTGTATAAGCCGAGACCTTTTCTCGATAGTAAATCGCGTAATATGCTTTACTTTAGCCTTGTACATAGTCAACTTTTGTACGCAAATATTGTATGGGCCAGCACCCATAAAACAAAACTGCTAAAATTGCAAAGCCTGCAAAACCATGCATGCAAAGTAATAAACTATTTAAATAGGTTAGTAAACCCGGCCCCGGTGATGAAAAGCATGATGGTTCTAGATATTGAGAAGCTTAACACGTAACAGATATTAATTTTTATGTATAAGTATAAGAACAATCTCCTACCAAGCGTTTTTTCAGATATTTTCTTGACATCATTTTCTGAAAAATATAATTTGCTTTCAAATACCAGGTACAACTATCACTTAGAGAAAATTAAATCACGCCAGTCAAATTTTTTAATTACAAACCGTGGCCCATCAATCTGGAATCATTTCCAAAAATAAAAATATTAAAGACCTAAAAAGCATTTCACCGTTTAAACGGGTAACTAAAATGCATCTTCTTAATTCCTGACATACATTTTAAAGTTTACAGTATTTGTTTACAGTAATTTTTTTATTTATCTATTTTTTCTTCTTATTATTTTTTCTTGTTTTTAATATTTTTTTTGTTTTTTAATTTGTTACACTAAAAAAAATGAGCTTTGTTTTTATTGAATTTTTATTTTATTTTTAAAAATCAAAGTGTTTTTATAATGAGTGACTATACGGGCTCTATGAAAAGGTTGTGATGTTAAACACATCATGCTTACCTTCTTTGAGCCCTTGAACAGTAAATATATATTATAAAATAAAAAAATATAAAAAATTATAAAAAACGTTATTTATCATGTTTATGTTTACGCCGCTATGTATTTTTTACATGATTATATAAAAATTCTAATTGTAACTGTTAATAATAATAATAATAATAACAATAATAATAATAATAGCAATAATAATAATAATAGTAATAATAATAATAATAATAATAATATACATATATAATATATATATATATATATATATATATATATATATACATATATATATATATATATATATTATACATACTTGTGCTGTTTCGTCACTGAAGAAAATCTGGAATAGAGTTTTTGATTCAAAATCTAATGACAATGTTTTTAATCTATTATGTTGAAAAATAAGGAATTTCTTTGATAAAATATCAAAGTAAGTACTATTCCCTTTACGCCGGGTAATAATTAATAGTAAAAATCTAGTCAAATATAGTTTATTTGTAAAATTGTTTTTATGAAATAAATTTTTATTTTTATTTTTTTTGTTACATATATTAGTAGAAAAAAAATATATTAAAAAAAAATCGCATAAAAACGTAAAAGTATATAAAAAGTATCCGATCATCAAAAGTAAATTACACATTTTGAATGATGGCAAAATTCCGTATTTTAACTTTATACACACGAGTACAAATATGGTTGAGAGCGAACAAACAAAATCGCGGTTAATTTTAACACATTGATTGCTAAGTCTATAGAAAGCCTACAAAAAAAATCTACAATATATAAAAGAACAAAAGCAAAAAAAAGCGTTAAACATTAAATACTACAACATTAATGTTTTTAAAAATGAAAATAGAACTTTGTTAGATAATTTTAAAGGAATAAAATTTAAAACATTAATGAGGGTTTCTTGCTTTAAATAAGTTTCGAAACGCAAACACTTTTTAAAACAAGCGTTAAATAACAAGAAAAAAAAAAGATGCGCGACTTAAGGTAATGAGCCAAATTCATGTCAGAGGCCTGGGTCTATTTGTAGGGGAAAAAAAATGGTAGCTTTGTTTTATACTTTCTAGCGTATCTTAAAGCTGTTCTGTTTGTGTTTTTTATTCAGAGAAAAAATTTAAAATTATAGCTTTAGCTATCCTAGATTTTAAAAATGGTGAGATGGACATGTGCTTCTATCAGTACTGTAGGATTTTTTAATTATTTGTTGGACATATATTACATTATTATTAGGGTGTAGTGAAAAAACTTTTTTTTCAAAATTGAAAATTTAAATATTATTTTCAGATGTCCATAGACATTTTAAGATATAATGTTAAATTTTTTTTTTCATAACTTCAAAATAAATTACCAAAATGGGGTAAATGGAGGAGTTATTAACAATAAATAGTCATAACTTTTAAACACATCATATTTTTGTCAAAACTTAAAAACTGCTATTAAATTTTTATCTATTTCAAAACAATAGTTAAAAAAAAAAAAAAAAAAAGTTTATCAGAGACTTTTTAAATGAGGAGGGGTGGTGGTGGTGGGGGGGGGGGGGGAATTGAGTTTTAAGACTAAGTCTAGATCCTTATTTGCCACATATAGGGTGGGTATAATATATCAAAATTTTTGGCATAACCCATTCCAAAAATAGAAAAAAACTATACAAAGAGTAGACCTGCAAAATGACCCCTTTATTGGTTATGGACCCCATTTAGTATAAATAAAAAAATATAAATTTGTGAAGATCCAAAAAGTAAAGAATATATACACTCATATTAAAAATATAAAAATTATATAATCATCTGTTTTAGGTTCTTTTTGGTATTATTTTTAGGTAAAAGTTTACGGTGATGGCAGCCTGCTTGAATAAAACCATCTCTTGAATCGTGTCCGTAGACAGCAGCACAAGCTCTTGTTGTTTGTTTAACAGCCCGCTCAATACTCTGTGTGTGGCATGGTATGGAATCAACAACCATGGGATTCACCTTAAAATCAACTATTGTCTCAGTAGAAAAACTAAATGTTTGAATCGGCTCAAATACATTATGAGTCCAAGAACATAACTCAGTAAGATTCTTAGCATCTATGTTTAAAAAAGAAGAATGAGTCCTTTCTCGGACAGATGTTTCTCCTTTGTCAAAACCTCTTCTAATCTGCAGAATACGAAATACTGCAAAAATCCGTTCTTCCACTATAGAGCTACAAAGCAAAGTGGTTAGAACAGCTTCACTGTGAGAAAACCAGGCTCCTAATATGATATATTTTTCAACAATATCCCTAGTAACTTGGCTTTGCATTTTTACTAATCTCAAGGTTTCTAGCACATGTCTTGGACCCTCAATAAAAGACCATCTTACTTTTATATCAAACCACATTGGATAGTAAACACCAACAACATATTCAACTAAACAACTTAAATAGTTTAAGTTTTGCCCAGACAGACCATGAACTGATACCCAAATTCACATCAGTCTATTTGCAGTTGTCAACCATCTGCTGTGATTAACAGGACCACACTCCATCTTTATAAGATCTATAGGTATGTTACCTGAACGTATAGCTAAAACCATTTTATAACCATAGAGCTGATCAGTTGAAAGATCATCAATCACATCTTTACTTAATTCAACTGGTTTTTTACCAATGGTTATTGTTGGAAATGCCTGTGCTACTGGAAGTAGTGTAGCACAATTTAATAATTTACCCACAACTCCGCTGAACCCATTACTGGAAGTTGTTTTACCATCTAGTTCCTCAATAAGATGCCTAAGTGGAAGCTCATTAGTATGCAGCATACAGACTGGAAGATTAGGTGGGGCTCTAAGAAGAATAGATCCTCTATTCTTCTTAGAGCCCCACCTAATCTTCCAGTGTTAGTAGCTGTAGAGTCAGCTCCAATATACTGTAAGTTTATATCAAATTTTCTACACCAATCTGCTATAGGTTTAGCTATCATTAATGCAGGTTTTTTGCCCATGCCAGGCTTAAGAGGAGAGAAATGGAATACATATTTTCCACCTGGTTCACTAGTGACAGTGTAGAAGTCCATTTTTATTGTTTTAGAATAATATTTTATTATTGTTTTATCTTGATTATTAATAAGAGTTAAATTCTTTCTACTGTCAAAAAATAATGCTTTTATTTCTTCTGACTGATACAACTGTAAATCTTCTTTCTGGACTTTTTCCATTACTTTTTTCGTTTCCCTGTGAATTTTATGGTGGTCAATAATCAATTTATCATTTGTTTTATTAACAATGCCAAGATCTACAAGAACTGCAGAAGAAATAGCATTAGCTTCTCTGTTACTTGTTCCGTATCTTAAAACTGTTTGAGCAAGAAGTGATTTGTATTGATGACAGATTCCTTTATTCCATCATCAAATTCAGTGTCAATAAACTGGTTAGAAGATACGTTCTCTTTCTCAATGACATCTACCTCTATTTCTTCATTAAAAAACTTGTTATTATTTAACTCTACTTTCTTCTCCTCTAATTTTTTAAAGATTAAAGCTTTTTCTTTTCTTTTGCATTGCTTAGATAGTCGAGTGTGTTCTTTTTTATCTATACAATGTATTTGGTAAACACTTTTCATTCTAATTTTCAATCTCTGAGCTTTGATAAACTTCAGCTCTATTTTAGGAATTTTTAAATTGGATGGACAATTACAGGTTGGAGAAACAGCAGAATGAGAACATTTAGGGTCAGAACAAGTTGGATCTTCCTTGCATATAATAATGTGCTTGCAACGAAGAATATCAAACAATACATCAATTTCATTATATAACTTATTCTTTTGAGAACTTTTCACTCTTCCCCAAACAGTTTGAGTAACTTTTTCCCACTCTTTTTCAATTCTCTGAACTATATAGTGATTAGGTTGAATTTGAATATTGATATTTACTTTTTTATACTGTGCAACAATCTAAATAAGAAATAAAAAATATTATTTAAAATAGCAAAATATAATAATGAAACAGTAGAAAATAAATATATATTATACAACAATTTTATTAAAATATTAGACTTTGCTAACTTTACAAGATGATTTTTTGGCAGCTTCGTGAACAATCTCTTTTGAAACATACTGAAGGTTAGTGTCTAAGGACTCCATTTCTAACAACATTAGTTGTAAAACATTTCTGAGGGTTGGTAATTCAGGGTGTAACAAATCAGCACCAAGACCAATGAATTCTTTAACTTTTTTGCTGCCTGGGCAAGAATTACTACGCGTCCTTTTTATACTATTCATAATATTTATTATTCTATAATAATTATATATTTATTATAGATTAATAAATTATATATATATATATATATATATATATATATATATATATATATATATATATATATATATATATATATATATATATATATCTTTATGTTATAGATCCTACAAATTTTTTAAAAGAACTTAAATAGAATATAACTAATTGTTAGTTATACTATATATAAGTTATTGAAAAAATGTATAGGGTATGTGGAGGAAAGTATATTTGGCTAATATATTTATACTTATCATTAAACAAGTTCTTGGTTTGCAAAATTTTTCAAGTGAATATTTTGGTATAAAATATAATTAATAAAAAGTATAGAAATTCAATTTAAAAACAAAAAAGTCAACTTTAGATTATTTTTGATTCTTTAAATCATAAACATAAACAAAAATACATTGAAAAATTACAAAATTTCAGTAATTATCCTAAAAGTTATTAATTTTTTCTCTGAACTTTTTTAAAACTCTTCTTTAAATAACTTAAATAACTCTTTAAACTTTGCACAACAAAATCAAGAAAACGCATAATATAATTTTAAAATGCAATGTTCCTAAACATTGCAAATTTATATAAAATAAATAAAAAATAATTTTACAGACCATTAAAAGTTAAAGTTAAAGGTTTTTGTTTTGCTATAAAAATATTTAATATAATTTTTATAATAATATATTTTATTCAAACAAAATAAAATTTATTGATGAAATAAAATTTATTTAGTAGTTAAAAAATATGTGTATTAATTTAATTTATATAAGTCTGTTTTTTGTTTTTTATACGATGTTTCCGTTAATTCTGTTTTCGACCAAAAATAGTAACTATTTAATTTGATCATTATAAAATATTTAAAACTTCATTTTGGTAATTTATTTTAAAGTTGTGAAAAAAAAAATTGCATAGTTAACCTTAATATGTCTATGGACATCTGAAAATAACATTTAAATTTTAAATTTCAAAAAAAAAGTTTTTTCACTACACCCTAATTATTATCCTGCAGCAATTTCACTGAAACAATTTTCCTGCTCTGTAGCATTTTTACAGCTTTTTTCTGTTGGCCAGAATTCCCCTGCTTTTTATACGAACAATAATTTTAAAAAGTTTCCTCGTTTACAAGGGGTAGAAGGTTTCATCTGAAGACCATTTTGATGTTACTTAAGGTATATCTAACGGGTTAAGACTACATTCAAACGTATAATTTCGTTTTGGAAACAAACATTTTCAATAAAACACCATAATAAGTAGATTTCACAATTAATTTTAAAAAAAACCATTTACTTTTAAAAATTCATTTTTTCACTTCTCAATCAATCTATATTTTTCGACATAATACGATTAACTAAAGTCGCTATTTTTATTGAAAGAGATTTGAAATTTATATAAAAAAAACTATCTATATACAAAAATAGACTTCACACAGTTTTGCTGTTATTTATAACGCTACCATTTTCATTTTTTTCCCTACAAACCGCCTATATGAATTTACCTAATAAGTAAAGCTTTGTCTACCATTATGCGGTACGGCAAAAAACTTAAATAACGTTTCCATGACGTCGAATTATTTGCAACAACCACTAGCGTTTTTATGAAATTCTATCGCTTCAGTACAATATTTGTCCGAATATCAATCCCACAATGCCTTACACTATTGAAGACTTAAAACAAATTTTACGCTCTTTTAAATTGCGTGACTAAGGAATAAAATATGGTATTATGCTTGATATTATCAGATCACGAGTTTTTAAAAAAGCTGTTTTTAATAAAAACCGTTACTTTTACTAGAAATCGTTACGTTTAATAGAAACCGTTACTGCGGATATATATTTAAAAAATAAAAGTTCTCAATATATATGAGTTTGATGATGAGATTGTATAATATCTTTATTATTATTGTTAGTATTATTACTAATAACATTCCTTTTCATCGTCATCTTATTATTATTGTTAATATTGTTTCTATAATTATTATCAATACTATTATTATTGTTATTATAATCACTTTTATTGTAATGTTGTAGGTTTTTACTTTAGATTAGTACTTGTACTATTTGTAAAAGTCCTTGAAATTTTACAACTTATTTCAGAATATATATTGAATTGAATTGAATCGATGTTTTATGCTTTATATATATTTGTGGAAAATTGGCCTATATGTACCCATTTTTTACGATCTCTTTTAGGTAAAATTAGTAAATAAATATACTCTTAGAAATAATAATTTTGTATATAAATGCTTTTTTAGAACTAAGTTTAATTAGTTTTATATCGTACACTATATCTCTGGAATTAAATTATTTTGCACAATTTTGATACTTCTTATACTTTTCCCATTTTCAAGTGTAAACTGAAAAAATTCTCCGAATGGATTTAGTCAGGTATTTTTAATTGTAACTGTGTATTTTGTTTACAACTTTTATTGTAAAATACGTTTTTTATTGCTGATTATGTATTGATGTGGTTTATATACATACGCTTGTAAAAAGTTTTGACGTTTAGATCAGAACAATCTTCTTTCCTAAACCTTGTTTGTATTTGTTATTAACAACTTATACAAACAAGGTTTTTTAAATCAGCAAGTCAAAAAGTTAACACGGTCTCCAGAGTTTCTTTTATGTCTTTGAATCAAAGAAAACTTTTACTTTTATACGCTTTTATTACATCTCATTTTTTTTATTGTTTATTAGTTTGGTTGTTTCATAGCAGAAAACTTAACAATCGTATTAACAGAATACACGAAAGAGCCCTTAGAATTGTATATCAAGACTATTGATCTCCTTTTGAAAAACTTCTTATAAAAAATGGTTTCAAAACTATACACGGCAAGAATTTGCATGTATTGGTGACGGAAATTTTCAAAGTTAAATTGGGGCTTGCCCCTAAATTGATGAAAGAGATTTTTCGTTTTCGCGATACTTTTCTAAGAGGGGATAAATTTGCATATAATAATATACGAACTGTAAAATACGGTCTAGAGTCCCTTTTGCATTTGGGATCATCAATTTGGAATTCGGTACCAATGAGTTGCAAATCAGCATTAACTCTGAAAGAATTTAAATTAAAAATCTAAAATTTGGTTCCGAAACACTGTCCCTGCAAGGTATGCATGACTATGTCAAAGACATTGGATTTACAAAGTCGCATGTTTAATTTATTCTAGCTTTAAATAACTTTTTATTTTTGATCTTTTCTATTGATTTATTAATTATTTTTCTTGAGTTTTTTATAATTGTTTAAGATGACTTTGTTGTTTCACATCAAAAAGAACTTTATAAGTTAAGCGTAAAACGCCTCATGTACCTTAATGCAGTTCAACATAATTTATATACAAACTAATTCTCTTGATTACACTTATGTCTTTATATTATATACAAATGCGTCTATATACATATACAATTATTTACAAGTAACACAAATTGTTTGCTTTAAAACAACCATTAAATATAATTACACTTTTCACTTCCCCATAATGACCATCTCGTCTCAAGGACTAAAACGCTCAGGAGCCCTACTTTCTCGCGTGCTTCTTCGTAACACTGACGTCTTTTTCGTTTTGTTTCTCCAGGCAGTACAACGTATAATTCTTCATCATCTTCTGGATCCTAATTTAAATCATTGTCATTTTTTTACTTGTCCAAGATCTTCATTTGAATCGTTGTCAACTCTTACTTGTCTTAGGTCTCGTACATTTCGACACATTTTTTTCTATTTCTAACGTTTGTTCCGAGATTATCCCTGTAAAAATTCCTATCTTATATTGAGAGTTGCATCGGTTATCTGGAGGTTTAACCCATACTTTATGACCAAGTTTTTTTTGCTTATCTTCTCATAAGAAACATCAATTCCTCTTACTCGAATTTCGTATTGAACTTATTTGCAGGTGCAGTAAAAGATTTACAACTATCTTTTGGACTAACGTTATAACAATAAAATACCTCTAGTATGCTGCACGGAGCTTTCTTTGCCGTTCTTTTGACAGTTTGGTGACACCATTCTGCAATTCCATTTCCAGAAGATACATAAGCGCACCTGAATTGAAGTTTAACGTTCCGTTTATTTACAAACTGCAAAAACATTGTGCTTCGAAATGTAGTATCATTGTCCGTCAGTATTTCATCCGCTCCTCCTCGTTCAAGAAATATTGCGTTTAATTCGTACAGCGTTTGCTGTTCTTTTAACATACGAAGAGGCTGCACGCAACCAACTACAAACTGATTCCCTGTCATTTTTCAGCACAAAGAAAAAATGTTACGTCTTGTTAGTGAATTCGGAATTTCACCAAAATCATTACCTCTTCTCCGACATAACTTTTTATTTTGCATTCCAACTTGTAAATCAATAGCTCTTGATACATCGGATACGCGGACCACCGACTTACAATGAAGCCCATAGATTTCTAAATGGTCAAGTACGCAACAAACATGTATTATGTATTTACAAAAATATTATCAATGTATGACGATGTTCCTTTCCAGATTATTTTGTGATTTGCGATAGCACTTTGTCCAACATTTTCAACGCTTTTATTATGATTGGCGCAAACGTTTAGTACAAATCTCAAACTTGTTAAATAAAATATTTGTTCATGGAACACAACAGTTTGGTAAGCCCAGAGTTTCTTATCAATTTTTAATTGCATGTAAGCTGAAGACAAATCAATTGTTGAAACATTTTCTCCAAACCGTCTCCCGTCTGGAAGTTTGTCAGCACACGCATCTGTGTTCGTAGTGAATGCTTCAATAAACGTGTTCAGCTCCCTAAAGTCTAATACTGGTCGTACTTTTCTTTTGTTTCGCTGCGCCACTGCCATGAGAGGATTTAAACCTTTTAATAAACCGTGTTTTTTCAAATCGTACTTTTGCATTAATTTTTCCCTTCAATTTCTTTTTCGTAATTGTGTTTTATTCCACAGGGATAGTGTGTTCAGCAATCTTGTTCACTAGAGTTTCAGGTTGAGAATTATTATTCCACTTCCACGAAATTATCCCTCCTTGATTTTGTTTTTCAAACGAAGCTGTGATATCCCTAGCTATTATAATCAAATTACTGACATCTTTTGGCATATAAAATGTTGGTTACTAACATTACAAGACTCTACTGCACGACATACACTGCACAGACTTACACATTACGCTAATACATCCTTATGCACATATAGCCTGTTTACACTGTTTTGCAAGCTCTTTGTTCTTTTATAGATAAACTATCTTTGTTTGAAACCATCCTCATTTAGATAATATTTTCTTTTAATAAATAATATGTGGTTGAAATGTAGATATAGATTTTTATGTTATGTTTATGTTCATGTGTGATTAATTTTTAATTTTAGGGTTTATATATATATATATATATATATATATATATATATATATATATATATATATATATATATATATATATATATATACATATATATATATTATATATATATATATATATATATATATATATATATATATATATATATATATATATATATATATAAAAGTGATTCTTTTAAACTAGCGGCTTTTGACATGTTTTGTCTAATGTATGTCTTTTCGCTGTTGTTTTGTTATGGTCAAAAACTAAGTCTTATCCGTAGAGAAAACTTCACTTTTTGGAACTAAGCCGTAGAGGAAACTTCACTTTTTGGAAATATCAATTTAGATATGGTCCAAAATTTATTTTTAATTCGGACCGTAGAGAAAACTTTACTTCTAAACAATATTTTTTCCCGCTTCGTACATCGTTTTTATATCACGACATTGTTGTATCACCCCAAAACATTTTTAACGACTAATTTTGCTAAAATTTATCTGGTCTTGTTAAAGTATTTAGTTAGTCTTATTACAATATTTTGTAACTTATTATTTATCTGCTGATTTTTATATTATTACTATCATCAATGAATTTTTATGTTATATTATCTTACATTCATTACTCATCTTTGTTTTAATTTTCATATGCACAATTTTTGTCTTTTACTATTCAGAGAATTTCTTATATCACTACATGTTTACATTTATTCGGGCAACTGACTTAAAGCGCTATGTTAGAATGACATAAAAACCTAACCAAAGTGTCAGCGTCATCGAATAAGTTGAAGTCCTTTTTTCAACCTAAAAACTCAAAGATATTGCAAAAAGTCCACGCAGCTAAAGCATTTCATTCAGTTTGTCATCATCAGTATTACAACTCGATGGCCTGCACAGCTGGTTTAATGCACACGTTATTTGAAGATTAGAAAATTGCAAAAAATATTGCATGTTCTGAAACAAAAACTGCGGCAATCATAAACTAGATAATGGACCCCTACACTGTTGATCAATTCGTGAAATCATTAGTCAGCTTATCATGTTTTGGTCTTTCTACAGATGCAAGTAACAGCGGTTCACAGAAAATATCTCCGATCATTATTCAATACTTTGACTGGAAGACTGGTGGTATCCAAACTAAAATTCTCACGTTTGATAACACATCAAATGAAACCTCTGAAACTATATCTAAATATATTTTGAAAACACTCCGAACATACGAATTGTCGTCTAAGTGTGTTGTTTTTGCTGGAGACAATGCTAATGTAAATTTTGGAGGCATTAATAGTATTTGAAAAAAGTGTTTGAAAGAAGCATTAAAAAAAACTGTTAGTAGGTGTTGGATGTTCTGCCCACGTTTTGCATAACTTTATTCAGCATGGTACAGATTTAATGAAGATTGGTGTTGAAACTGTTGTCTTAAAAATATTCAATTATTTTTCTATATTCACAGGTAGAGCAGAATCTTTAAAAGATTTATGCGAATTTGTTGACATTAGTTATCATCAACCGCTCTATCACTCTAAAACAAGATGGTTAAGTTTTTTTCCTGCTATTGAAAGATTGCTGAGGTTCTTTGATGTTTTGAAAATATACTTTCTTTCTGTAGAAAAGATATTGCAGCAGTTGAAATGGAAGAAACGCCAGTTTTAGAATTTATGAGCCTTCTTCACTCTACCTTAGCAGTTTAAAAGGCCGGTTAAATGAAGCAATCCTATCGCTTTAAGTCAGAGATATATTAAAAAAGTTTAAAGAAAGTGACAGAGAAGAAGATTATAATTGCTAGCGTACGAAGCATTCATTCTTTATTTAGAAAAGTGGTTGAAACCTTTTGATGAATTTCAGTGCCTTGATTGGATGTTTTTAAATAAAGTAAAAGACAGTTCATTTGATGATCTTTTGGAATGCATTTTATACCTAAAGAAATTTTTTTTTATAAATTGTACATCATTTTGGACGATGTACAATTGTTTGACCAATACTGTAATCTAATATTATTCGTGCAAACCAAAAATGAGCAGTTTTTTTAAATACCCTTGCACGAACAGTGGGTTTTATCTTTTAAAGCATGTCCAAATCCAAGTTACTTTTCAGAGATGCTTAAAATTTTTGAAGTATTTTTCTGTATCCAAGGACACAACGGAAATGTTAAAAAAGTTCTCTCGTTGATTAATGCTCAATGGACAAATAAAGAAAGGAACAGACTTTTAGTTGCCTTATTTTTAAATTGAAAAATGTTAATTGCAATTGTAATTTGGAGAAAGTCACCTGAGTTTGCAACAACTGATTAAATAGATGCAAAAACTGATTAAATAGATAACTTATAAAAAACTGATAAAATAGATGCGTAGTCTGCAAAAAAACATGCTAACGATAACTCGTTATCTCGTTATTAAAATCTCGTTACGATGTTTATTGTTGTTGCGACAATTTTGATATTTTTTCGTTTTTATTATTATTAAGTAATTATATTATTAAGTAATATTAGTAAAATATAAATTTTATAATACCTACAATTTACACAATATCTTTGTGTACTGTAACATATATTGTTCTTCTATAACATACTTTGTTGTTTATTCTCATCCGGTATCAGTACCATGGCTAGAAGATCGTAGTCTTGCCTCCCTCCCTTCCATAAATTAAGCTATTAGCCCATAAAAATCCTAAAAACCTTTCGTTATTAGTTATTACTAAAATGAAGTATATCCTCCTTTGTCCTCCTTTTGACTTTTCTATGTCCTCTTTTTAGCAACCGCGCATCTGGCAACCCTATACATGCTAATAAGTACCAATTTGGTTTTATATGTTTTGAAAATAAATTTATTAATATTTTTGTGTTTTTATTAGAACTTTTATTTATTGTGTTTTCATGTTTTCTTTCAATGGTATGGTAAGTGATTTATTTAGTTATTTTTATTTTTGTTTTGTTCTACAATTTTAATATCATAACATCAAAAAAATATTGGTGTTTTACAAATTTGGGAATGGTTGGGTTTTGACTACTTGTAGTGAATCCTTTTTTACTGCAGTATGAAATAGGCGTATGTCACGGGGTGAAGCATTAGTGGTGATGGCGTATGTCTGGCATGATAAACTAGTTATTAGTGTTGATCGTCATCGAAACGTCAGTAATAATAGATGCGACTCTGAGGAGATGTTTATTACTAAATCACTACACAAATTATGTTTACGCATCAGCATTAAATTTTTATTTTGTAATCAATTTTTTGTTTTATAAACCTGTGATATATCTGTTGTATATCTTCGTTCATATTAGTGTTTATAAAATAATTTTTTTTATTATTATTGTAATTATTGTAAGTAAGGGAGGATGGGTAGGAGTGAGCCAAGGGTAGGAGTAAATGATTGATCCTACAGCTAAAACCGAAAATTTTCACCAAGTCGTTACATACAAACTGTTGTTAACACAATCCATTTTTTTTTTACCGCTTCTTGGTGCGGGTGTCTGTCTTGGTGCGGGTGTCTGTCTTGGTGCGGGTGTGTTTACATTGTTATCAACTCTTTTCTGTATAAAAGTAAATTTTTTGTATTTTTTGAAACTTCTTTAATGAGCCGGCTGTTTTGAGACATTAGATAGTGGTTAAAGTTTTCTAACAAACAATGTAGTTTTTAGAAAAAAGTATTTTACATGCATAAACCACGTACTTATCGCACATTTATTGCTTTAATCCAGTTGTACAGCTTTGGGATGAATGAGCTATTCTTTCACGGATAGGAGTGTACCGCGGCTTACTAATACTTCACGTTACAAAAGTTTTGACTTCGGCGTAAAAACATATTTAAGTTTGACTTTTATACCTTAGTATATCATTAGAAAACTTGTGTGCAACATTACATTTATTTTTACCATATGTTATAACGCCTCGAGTCTATAAAAGAACAACTTCGAAAGAAAAAACTTCTAGTAAATATATGAAAGAAGCATTACATTTAATCCAAAAAGGAAAAAGTATTTAAGAAATTGCAATAACTTCAAAAATATTGCTACCTCGACTTACCTTCCCTGGAACAAGTAAAAGGCAGCGTTGCCATTACGAATTTGAGGTTGTGTTAGACTATATCAATACTTGCTAAAAATTATTTTTATTGCCAATATACTATATGCTAATATACTACTTTCATTGCATATAAATACTTTTATAATACCTTATTATTTGGAAATTATCATTTGTCATGACAGTTTTCTGTTTTGCTGTCAAAATCAGTTGTTACTGAAAACGCTTTTTCTGGTAGTTTATACATTTTGTTTTATTTTGTTAAATGAGTTTAAAATTGTGTTAAATTTATTGCTATTTTTTTGTTACATTATTACTTAATTATGTTATGCTTAATTATAAAGTATTTGTTATTTACTTAATTTTCAATAAATTAGTTTTAAAAAATATCTAATTTTAGTTTTTTTTTCTGGTAATCAAAGATAATGGCTCACTCGTACCGTTTGCTTGATTCACTCCTACACATGCATGGGTAGGAGTGAACAAGTAACAACACCTGCGTTATTGTCCAAGTTATTCAAAATCTAAAGATATTTTGATATTTCATGTATTACTATTAGAAATCTAATACATTAGGCTGCCATAGGCTCTTTATCCTATATTTTTTCTACTTTTGGTTTCCTTGATATAATTGATTTAAAAAAAAGTGGCTCACTTCTACCCATCCTCTCTTACTATTTAGGTGCATTGTCTGTCTTATTTATTTTTAAATATTTCTCTATTAATCTTTATTTTTGTCTTGATAACTGTCAAATATGCTTAGTTCGAAAAATAATTCTCTTTTATTCTAATGTACTTCATTTCTTCCTTAGCGTTCACTTCTCGTGTGTGGTCACACACCAGCAGTAAACACGCGTGATTTTTTTATTTTAAAATAAGTTTTTAAATAAAAAAAACTATTTACTGAACTAAATAAAAACTAAAACTAAAAACTTTTTTTCTAAATTGAAAACTAAAACTAGAATTATTTTTCGAACAAAAATATCACTGGCCGTCACAAAACCACTAACCCCTTACCCCCTCCCCTCCCCAAAGCAAGACGTAATTTATGGACAACTATAAAGTATGACTATGACTGCAAATGTAAACTGTTCAAAGAAAAAAAAATTGTTATATAAATATATATTGTAAATAAAAAATATAGAAAAATAAGTTGTCAATAAATGTGTAATTGTAATGTCAATAAATCCGTAATCAAATTTTGTTATTAATTATTCCATAAATAAAAATTTATTTTAAATAAATATGCTTTTTAACCGTAAAATAACAGACACTGTAAAAAGCGCAAAACGCTGATAGTCATGCAACTAGTTATTTTATTATGTCATTGGTTTAAATAAACTTTTTATTATTATTATTTGAAGTTTTTAAATGTTCAATATATTAATTATCTTTAATAAATTTTTAATTAAATTAATTTTAATAAGTTTTAAATAATTATTTTCGTTTTCATATAAAGAAGAATAAGTTTTATATAAACTCATTGATTTCATTTCATTTATTAGTTCTTTTATTACAATATGTCATATATTAAAACTCATAATTATAAAACTTTTATAAAACTTTCCGATCAATTTCTTCTAAAACCTTTTTCTTATTCTCGATTTCTCTCCGAAGTGGAGAGAAATCGAGAATAAGAAAAAGGTTTTAGGAGAAACTGATCAAGTTTAATTAATTATTTTAAGTGAAGAAAAAAATTTATTAAGTAAAAAAATAAGGTACAGGACTTAAACACAAATACCACGTTATTAAAAGCTACAGAGAAACATGCAAATAATATTTTATATAAGGGCCGGCAGTGCTTGTCTAATCATAAATAACAATATTTTTGTAGTAATTAAAGAAATTATATTTGTAGAAAACAGGAAACACTTAACTAAACATTTAGTTCTTGTTATGAGCCAGTGTATTTGTTCAGCTCATATGTTTAGTTTCAGGTTCCCATTTTCTATTTGACAAAAAACGTTATTGATACAAAAAGTTTGACAGAAAATGTCCGTAGTGTTTCTACAAACATGGTAACTATATTTTAAAGTAATAATACTTTTGATATTTCTGATAACTATCCTGATCACTGCCATTGGGTCAATTTTTGAATTGTTAAACAAATGGTGGCATTTGCTGTTCCATATTTCACTCTTAATGTATTGAGTGATTGTCAAAAGCAGCTGCGATGTAGGATTTTTCTCCGATAAATTCGCAGTTTCAATCGAAAATATCGAATTTATTGGAGAAAAGTTGTTTTGGGATTTCAAGGAGTTATATACATGTTTAAAGTATTCCCATATTGTAACAGAAGGAGGATAGTAGGCAAAGAGTGCAATACATACCATTAGTTAGGCTTAGCCTAAGTAAAGTACGCAGACAAAGTAGTGATTGGAGTTCACTTAATATGAACTCTTCCTCAACTTTCTTTGTTGTCAGGCTTAGGGTTAGGATTAGATGAGCAAATTCTGGTACTGTGGTTTACCTCCTCCGGCTAATTGCCATATAGAGGTCACTTTACCAGAAGTCCGCAAAGACTAGTTGAGCTCCCGAAGGAGCGTCATACCTGCTCTACGGACCGAGAGTAAGATAGTTTTTGGGAAGAACGAAGATATGTTAGAGTGATAGATAGAAGTAGTCGAGTAAAAAAGATGGCATAGAGTAAGCGGAAAGGATTACACACGATGTTAGAGAGTACAATAATGAGTAAATTCTTTTTTTTTTTTTTATATTGTAGTTTATTGTCATCCGACTAATTGCCATACTGACATATCGTAAAAAAAAAATTACAAGATATCGTAAACAAATACCCCGTTACAAAGATGTCTTATAGACCCATTACAATAAAATCACCATGATCAGTAAATTTTTTTTTATATATATATTGTAGTTTATTGGCATCCGGTTAATTGCCATACTGACATATCGTAAAAACTAAATATTACAAGATATCGTAGACAAATATCACCGTTCAAAGATGTCTTATAGACTCATTACAATAAAATCACTATAATGAGTTAATTTTAATCTAATGTTTAACTGCTACATGACCCTCTCTAAAACGTCTCATTTTATTTACATTTTTGCTTGTGGGTTTATAAAAACTCAAATAGCGTATTCACTTTCAAAAACTTTTTTATACATTAAAAAAGTTTTTTTTTTAGTCATTTAAAATTGACTTCGTAACTTTTTTGTTTAAGGTCTCTTTAATTTTTAAAGAAATAATTTTTAAATACAATTTAAAACTCTTTTTTACCACTAATACATGACATTATTAACACTACTACGGAAATTTGACATTAAATAAAAAGAAATTTTTTCGAAAAAGATGATTTTATATTCATGGACCAAGTCTTTAAATAAACATGCGGCTAAGTTGAATACAAAATATTTAAATATTTTGTCCTTGAATACAAAATATTTAAATATTTTGTCCTTGAATAAAGCCCACATAGAGCCCACTTGGGCAAACCCATGTGGGCCCTAATAGGACATGTTTGCTGGGAAGTAATTAATTGAAAATTTAGTAGGATACTTGTGCAATATTTCACTAAAGTAAGAGTGAAATACTATTGGAGAGAGCCCATGTTTAGTTTTAAACATGAATTGTAGAACTTGGTGTATATTAAGTTTATAGACACTTAGGGCATTGCGAACCTTATTTAAGGAAGCTTCCTTAAATAAGGTTCGCAATGAAAAGTTCTGTGTGCACTTAATATAATTCTGCATGCATGTTTTTGCTTACTATGAATTTTTTTTTAACTTACCATAATTAGTATTACCCCATACAATATTGCAATAAGAGATAAAACTATGAAAAAATGAAGAGTATATTTTTTTCAGAGAAGAAGTGTTAAGCTATGGTTTAGTTTTATATAATATATAAATGTTTCTTGATATTTTATTTTCTATATATTTTATATGTAGTTTCCATGACAAATTTTCATCACTCCTAGAAAATTAACGATTGGTTGCCTTTCAATAAATGTTTTATTGATTAGGAGATTGGGTAATTTTAGAGGAACATCATCGCCTTTACTAGGTTTGGAAAATAAAATAAATTTAGTTTTTCTACATTTAACGAAAGCCTTTTACTTTTAAACCACTCGTTTATTTTGATTAGTTCTTCATAAAATATATTAACGAGAGCTTTTATGTCTTTGTTGGAATAAAAAAGATTAGAGCCATCTGCAAACAATATAACATTTAAAATAATTGGTGCTTAGTGTAAATCATTTATATAGAATAAAAATTATAATGGCCCTAAGTTGAACCTTGGGGCACACCACATGTAACATGTTTTTCTTTTTCTTTTTTTTAATAAATAATACATTGTGACCTGTTCGCTAGGTAGTCTTCAAACTAAAGTAAATTTTTATTTTTTATTCTATAGAATTTTAGTTTTTTTATAAGTATCTTATGGTTAACAGTGTCAAAGGCTTTCGTCAGATCAATAAAAACTCCTAAAGTAAAATAGTCATTGTTAAATGCATCTGATACATGATTAATAAGTTCGATTACAGCAGGGTTAGTTGAATTATCTTTTTGAAATCCAAATTGTTTTCTGTACAGCAAGCTGTTTAACACCAAATAGTTGTAAAGTCTGCTGTACATAATTCGTTCCAATAATTTTGAGAAGAAGGGTAAAACGGATATAGGTCTGTAGTAGTTAATATTAATTTCGTCACCAGATTTAAAAATGGGAGTGATTATGGCAACTTTAAGTTTTTTCGGCACATCACCAAGTTTTAATGAAAGATCAACAAATATGAAAATATAATAAAAATAATGACGGTTCAATGATATCGAAGACTGACTTAACAACACTCACACTAATTTTGTCAATGCCCGCACTTTTATTACTTTTAAGGCTGTTGAAAGCATTCTTAATCTCGCTTAGATTTAAATTAGATTCTTCCATAATAGAATAAAAGGTATGATTTTTAAAGATATTTACTGCATTTATTAAATCTTTCCAAAATCGAAGTCCAAAAACAAATGAGGATACCAGTTTCCAAGGTTAACAGCTAATCCTTTATTGAAATTGCTTCTACTTTTGTTATAGGTTTTTAATCATAATCAGAACCAATTTTATTTAAAATAACAGTTATGTTAAAGAATCCCTTCAGTACTGCATCTAGTGTCTCAGCATGAGCATTCCATTTTGTAGTGCTTAATGATTTTAATGTCAAAGGTAATTACAACTGATTCCATCTTTTTGTACTTGCCAAAAAAAATCAATAGAGTTTTTGAATTAACATAAAAAAATTTGTCACTATGAAGCAGGACCCA